TCTGTCTTTTTTCTTAAAATTCTCAGGCTCAAGCTGATGATAGAAATTTGATTTTGGCAATAATTTGGCGGGGGGGGGGGGGGGGGACTTGCGACTCTCTCTCTGAGAAGTGGCAGAAAACCCTTAAAATTCTGATTGTGTATAGATTGCCGTTGAGCGTTAACCAAAACCATGTACTGTAAATTAATCAACAAGCAGATCGATCGTGTCATGGAGTAATACCAGATCAATTGTCACAGATTCATGATTATAGTTGATTGATAATTACCAGCAATGATAAGGCCACCGACAAATCATTATTCCGAATAATTAATCTAAGCGGTGATTATTTGATATCTGGTTTCATAGTCCTAAATGGAAATAAACCAAATGGCCAATAATTTTCGTTTTGAAGAGAATTTTACTGTGGCTTCATATGGCATGCAAAGTATACAAGCATGCATAATTGGATATGATTGTTTCAAATTCTATTATCCCCATGGGTACGAAAAATGAGGATAACCAACAAGTCAAAAAGCACTGATTCTCAAGTCCGCCATTACACCACGGTCAAAATTTCACAAAATTGAAATTTTTATCATTCAATCAGGGATTCATATTTGGAATCTTGATACAGTTAAGGTACTTGAAAATAACAATAGACCTATTGTACATGCAAAACCTTATTTTAATTCAGTTGTGTGACAACTCCTTTGATCAGGAAGCTAAACTTGATTACCCAATCAACGATCTTAATCTCATGACCACTGGCACTAAGATTCTAATTAATTGACCAGATTAACTGAAGTTATTCTCACCAAAGTTATAATATAGAACATAGATTACTAATGTATGGACTATCCTCATTTGTTCTAAATTATAACACTATCATAGTAAATGTGAATATGATGTTTTGTTACGAAAAGAGTTCATTGCGTGAGATTAATATTATTATTTTATTATTATTACAAAATTTATATAGCGCCCCTTTCACAGATGTGTTCAAGGGCACTTTACAGTGTAACAAAATTATACATTCAAAAAGTAAATAACATCAAAAATGTTAAAAATACATTAAATAAGCAATTATTTCTAAAAATACATACAAGAACGACAACAGACAAAATAATAGGTGTTGAAATTTTGTTATAAGCCTTTAAAAATAAGAAAGTTTTAGTCTGTTTTTTGAAATTAACTAGTGATGATGAAATTCGAATATTAAAAGGTAATTGATTCCATAAAATAGGTTCTTGATAACTAAAAGAATTTTCCCCCGTAACTAGAAATATTTACAATTTTTTGCTTTGGTGCTAAATTATGAAGGAATTTAAAAGTTAAAAGTAAAATCTTAAAATCTATTCAATATTTAATGGGCAACCAGTGCTGCTGAAAGAGAACAGGGGTTATACTTGTATATTTATTTGTCAAGGTTATTAATCTAGCAGTAGTATTTTGAATTCATTGGAGTTTGTTAATAAGTTTAAGGGGTAAGCCAGCTGATAGAGGGTTAAAATTATCGAATCTTGACGTCACAAGGGAGTTGATAAGAGTTTATCTCTTGATAAATAGTTTCGTATTTTTCCGATATTGTGAATATTAAAATAACAAACTTTAGATAAATGATTAACTTGTGCTTCCATATTAATAAAATTATCAAACATCGCACCAATATTTCGACTAAAAACAGTAGAGTTAATCTCACAATCACCTTTAACAATGGATAAGTTAGAATGTACATATTTATTTAATTGATTGATATTTCTAGTTGGTGAGAAAATATATATAAACATTTTTTTTATATAAAACAAATGTCGGGTCAAATTTTTACTACACTTTTCGTCTTCAGCACCCCTGAAAACTTAAAGAAATTGCAAATAAATGACGTACCATCATCTTTAACTAGCTTTTTCTCAAAACTTACTTTCCTTGCTTGGACAGCTTCAAACAGACACAGCTCAGTCAATGTTTGGCCGATTTAAACCAGCCATACATCACTTTGAAGGTATTGATGGTCAGATGGAGAATGTGAAATACAATAACTCAATTTCCTCATTGCGACTCAGTTTGCCAGCACGGGTTACATATGGTCATTTTTAAGGAATTCAAATTCAAGAGTTCGAAATTAATTTTTTCCAAATCCAAATATTTAATATATCAGTACCAATAATACAATACGGTACTAATATGCTGACTTCACTTGTACATGGCATAAAATCTCAAAATGGTTGGATTGGGAAATCCTTTACATGGATAGGAAATAATTTTAAATTTTTTTAAAAATTTTTTTAACATCACCATTTATAGGTCTGAGAGTATAGAGCAGCAGGGCTTTCATTTCAGTCTTATTTGGTAGTCTTGACTGACTGCCAGTAAAATTGACAGGCTTCAGAACTTAACGATCAGTGAATGTAATGCCATGAAATTAGAATATCAATAGATACAAATAATTATATTTTCATGTGGACACCCCTGTCCGTCTGGACGTCTGTCAGTCCGTCTGCAATTTGTTTGTGGACACTCTACAGGTCACAATTCTTATCCGATTTTGACAAAACTTGAAATATAGATATTGGCATGTATCAGATCGAAACTTCATGCATTATGGCCCCTGATTGTATGCAAAAGCACGTTTTTAGCTTGTGGACAATCTAGAGTTCACAATTTTCATCTGATTTTGATGAAACTTGAAATGCATGTTTATAACCCAAAGATCTTGTTTCCTTTCGATATTTGCACATATCGAATCGTAGCTTCCTAGATTATGGTCCCTGATTGTATGAAAATTCACATTTTGAGCTTGTGGTCCCTCTAGAGGTCACAATTATTACCCTATTTAAAAAAAGTTCGAATAGATCACCGTTCCACTGTAATGACGATTGAGGTAGAATTTCATGAAAATCGGACCAAAACTAGTGTAAATATGGTATATCAAGGTTGTGGTACCATCTAGAAGCCACATCCGATTTTGATGAAATTTGAAATGTATCTTTATAACCGAAAGATCTTGGTTTCTTTCAATATTCGTGCATATCGGATGGTAACTTCCTGAATTATGGCCCTTGATTGGACGAAAAATTGCTTCTTTTTTTTTAAGCTTGTTCTCTATCCATCTCTTGCAAACTGTGGGCGCGTATCTTGCCTGGCAACCGCTGGTTATATTGGCCCTTGATTGTACGAAAGATTGCTTTTTTTTTTAGCTTGTTCTCTATCCATCTCTTGCAAACTGTGAGCGTAACTTGCCTGGCAACCACTGGTTATATTGAAGAGCACTTCGAAATATATTTAGAAATATATTTTAGAAATTTGGAAAATGCTAAAAATTGTATAAACAATTGATCTTCTAGCAAATTTTGAATTGAAAACCCTGATATAAAGTACTAGAATTGTATTCTGCTTTACAAAATGAAAGGATTTTGTCGATAAACTCTTGAACAAATTTATCTAAATTGAATTGTGCACTTGATAAAATGTGACTTTAGCTTTTTGTAGTTTTATAAGATTTCATGCTCTGCATCACACATCTCTTTAATTCCCAGTTTCTGTTAAGTTTTTTATATAAGAAGAAAATGAGGACATCTGGAGATATCCCATTAATTTCTTTATTAAGGATAGTAACTATTGGGAAAAAAAATGACTAGACTTAAAGGAAATCATTCTTAGACTATTTCGACCAAGTCTCTCCCAAAACAGGATTCCTATCCCAATTACTCTATATGTATTAAAGCTGCTGATTGTTGTTTGAATTTTTGGGAATATATATCATTTTTCATAGTTTAATTGATTATTTAACATTTAATTAACAAAACAGACCAAAATAAATGAACTGATTTGAAATGGGGTTTAACATCCTACACAAACCAAAATATCAACAATGATGGATATTCTCCTGGCTTCGATTCAATCAGATTAAAAAGATTTATCCAAGATATATAGGTTGTGCTTGCAGATGACATTGATGTTGGGAAATGTTCATTTCATCATATTTTTGTAAATACTAAACGGAATTGAACCATTTTAGACTGATACTCCCTGTAGAGATTCAACATCCACAATCAAGTGATTTGACAATTTAACCCAACAATTAGAGATGCTGCTGGCAACAGATCCATCTGATTAAAATACAGAGCTATATTTCGTTTCGTTTTTTTTATACTTTCGATGGCCTACCCTACATGAAGATCTGACAAGTTATAGCGATAGGTCACGTCAGGAAGACCGACTTTTGACCTATGACGTCAGAAATTTGATTACCCAATCAACACTGATGTCACTAGTGGATTACCCACGCAGTTCCAGGCAAAAAAGGTCGACAGACCATTTGATTGGCTGACCCCTCATTTCAAGCAGAACACGAGTTAAATAACAAATCTTCCATATCCAAGTGTAGTAAAGACAAGTAAAACGAAATTTTGAACTATAAAAACGAAACAAAATAGGATCTGTGTTTTAACCAGATTGGCTACAGATGACATTGATGTTGGGAACTTTCTATTCACCATATCTTTGTTAATACTGAACAGAATTGAACCATATTCAGATGTTGAATTTATGTAGTTATTTTGTGCAAGGGATTTGAAATCCTTCAAAAGCCGATCAGCGACTTAAACATACATTATGCAAGAGATCTGCCTATTGCAGGTCTTTCTTTAGGCCTGAAATGTTTTCTAAAGTATTAATTAGACATTAATTAACTGATCCAGGCCTTAATCAACTCTCGATGGCATCAGATTTCTCCGATATTAAATAGATTAGAATGGTTCAGCGATACTTTGATTTAATCAAATATGGAGGACCGAGACTTAGCTTCGATCAACCAGTACGGTGGTTGAAATTATTGCACACGTCTGTCAAACCTTCAAAGGCTAATATCTTCACTTGCAATAGAGTAATTTGAATGAAATTTTCAAATTATTCATTTTACATCATCTACTTTCGAACTATTATAGCAAGAATGGCTAGTTCTTTATCTAAATCTTAGATAATGTATCTTTAATACTGTAAAACTTTTTTTTTTCTTGCAGATTATAAATTTAAAACGATTCCAGTTTTTAAACGGAAGATGGGTTAAATCTCATAAGATTGTTAAATTTCCATTTAAAGACTTTGATCCAACACATTATCTAGCTCAGAGGCCACCAAATCCTCAAAATTGTATCAGTTCAAGCGACCAATCAAAGAATTCCTTACATTCCTCAACACCCAATGGCACCACAGTTTGTAAATCTGATGGCATAAAATCAGGTATGTAGAATAATTGGATTATTTTTTAATTTAAATTTTTGAAATTTCTGCTCCACAGTTTGTAAATCTGATGGCATAAAATCAGGTATGTAGAATAATTGGATTATTTTTTAATTTAAATTTTTGAAATTTCTGCTCCCATGAGGTTGAAGTGAAGCAAATTAATCTGCTACCATATTAATGAATTGTATGTCAATAGATATGATTTGAGTCTTGACCGAATAAGGGGTTTTGGATGGCCAAATGGTTAGCATGTGCACGCTTTATTTTAAGGCCTGTCATTGAGTCAACTGGTGTGGTTTTGAATCCCCGGTTGTACATGGCAAGGAGTAGGGTCGCCTCTCCAATCTCGTGGGTTTTCTCTGGTTTTCTCCCACTGCTAAAGACCCCTACGGCCTACGCGTAAGTGAATTATTTCTCTCTTTGACCGAATAAAAAAAAATTGAACTTCGGCAACTAAAACCATGAAATTCTATAAGTGTCCTATTGCGATTCGTAATGATTGTAGCAAGTTGATCTAATCTGGATGGCGATGACAAAAAGAATATTTAGATCATAGCTGGTGAAAAGAGAAATGCAATTATCCGGCTTTAAAATCAATCATTGAAACATCGCTCCCAAATCTTGATAGTTCGAGAGCCTGACAGAAAAATGGTTGCTGAAAAATAACAATCTTGGAAACTTAGAATGACAGTGAAAATGCTTTAAAACCAATTGTGAAATTACGTACAAAGAAAATCAATTAATTGAATTGTTTATTTTGTGTAGGTTTAAAGAAATTATATTTATTGAATGAAAGTAATTGAATTGTATATTTTGTGAAGATTTAAAGAAATTATTTTAATTAGATTGTATATTTTGTGTAGATTTAAAGAAATTATATTAAATATGCATCATGCAAGAGCTAAATCTGCCTATAGATGGTTCCTGGAGATAGGAATTCCCCATAATTCTTTGTGTTGTCGCCATCTTGTATGGCAACTTGCTGTAACTATGTATGTTGTCCTTTTATTAGTACAGCACCATACAACACAGATTATCTTTTAAAAGCAAAAAAAATAAGAAATCATATAATAATAGGCAGGCACTATCTTACTGTGACCCCTAGTAATCAATTTTTATATGCCCACATGGAAATGTGGACATATATTGCCGTCGCCCCCGTCTGTTTGTCGGTCGGTTAGGCCATCCCTCCGTCGTCTACAACTTCTTGTGAACGCTTTAACACCAAATGTTATGATCCAATTGTTTTAAAATTGATAGATGTTGTTTACATTAGTGTGATGCAGAAGTCTATTTAATTTCAATAATTTCTTTTTATTACAGCTAGAGTTATGGCCCTTGTTTCACTTTGTTGAATCTTGTGAATGCTCCAACGCCAAAAGTTAACATCCGATCTTTGTGAAATTTATATGCATTATTTAAATTAGTGAAACAAAAAAGCCTATTGAATTTCAGCAATTTCCGTTTATTAGGTCTAAAGTTATGGCCCTTATTTCACTTTATTAAACCTCGTGAACGCTCAAACACTGCCAACAGTTATCATCTGATCTTTGTAGGGTGACCACCCGTCCCGCATTTCGCAGGACAGTCCCTCAAAATGTTTCCAAGTCCCATGTCCCTAAAACCAGCCAAAATGTCCCACAATTGCTCACACGGAAGACTTCTATTACAGTAATAATATGTGTGAATCTAGCCTCGCGATAGTCTATTTGAGTATTAGTCTAGTCAAAATACTGACAATCTTACCACAAATTCCTTTAGAACGTTTTTTGGGTACCAAGTTGTAGATGTAGATGACCTTTCCCTGTGCATCATACTGAAAATCCACCTGCGTGGTTCCCCTTGCCACTGGGGTGGGACAGGGGGCCTTGAACAACGTATACTCCTTGGCAGCTGGATTAGCACTGGTCTCAGGCAGAATTTCCCGCTATAGGACACGATAAGGCGTATGCCTGTCTTCATTAGCCCAGACGGATGTTAAACCCCATTTTGTTTACCTTTAACTACAACAACTACAACCGACAACACCACAGCCGCCTCCATACTCCAAGAAAATAAAATTGAATAAATATTTTTAATCCACATCTTATGTTAAAAAAAAATATTGTAAAGATCTGAACTACCAGTAGAAATCTCAGTTCTCAGACAATACATCTTCTAAAATCTTCAACTATTCACTTACAACTTGTAAAACGTGCTTTTTCGTATGCTGGACCTTTTCTGTAGAATAAACAGCCAAAGCCAATTATTGTCAGTGGGCCATTTCAAACAGAAAACAGTCGAAGAAGAGAGAGAGAAAGAGACGCACTATAATTCGATTGCACATAATGTCGTGAGCTTTGGGGGAAACCAGTGGAGCAGGAGAAAAGCCACGAGATTAGATGGCGAACCTATTCCTTGTCACATACAAGTGGGAAATCGAAACCACGCCAGATTACTCAATGACAGAACTTAACCAATCGGGCCCCCCCCCCCACCAACAGAAATAAATACTAGTATTTGTTACACAGTGAATCACAGCAACCGAGAATATTAGCTGATTACTGCGGCATTTGTCGTGACCAAACGCCATGCATTTCTATTTTATGTACAATGGAAGCTATTTGAAGACAATGGATGTATCGAATTGTTTTTTCCTTTATTTGAAGGTGGGGTTGGATGGTCGAATGGTTAGCATGTGCGCACTGTATCATAAGGTCTGTCATTGAGTCAAATGGTGTGGTTTGGATTCCCCAGTTGTACGTGACAAGGAGTATAGTCACCTGTCCAATCTCGTGGGTTTTCTCCGGGTCCCCCGGTTTCAACCCACTGTTAAATACCCCTACGTGCAAGCGAATTATTAAAATAAAATTGAACCATGTATTAGTCCGGAAATGACCTAGCTGGTATCGAGTAGACGTTAAACCCCATCTCTCTCTCTCTCTCTCTCTCTCTCTCTCTCTCTCTCTCTCTCTCCTTTATTTTAATCTATATTATATACTTAAGTTTATTGAGTATCATTTAAATTCGCTTTCGCTTTATGGTCTCTGAATTATTCAAATTCAAATATATCTATTGATGTATAACATGAAGGTGTAAAAGTATCTTGTATTATTAATATAGCATGGTGATCAATCAGGGAAAGTTAAAGATGCATTATGTAAGATTTAGATAAAAGGCTGACAGTTCTCGTAATAATAGTTTTAAAAATAGATAATGAAAGGGGAATATGTTGAAAATTTCAGTCAAATTACTTCATTTTGAGAGGAGTTATCGTCATTTACAGAATATAGTAGTCTCGATTGTCATTTTTAAATTAAATCACAAATCTGTTAAAAATCAAAACCGTCCGAAGTTCTGGAGAGTTGATCATGGGCCTGGTATATAAAAACATGTCACATTAATTATTTATATATACTATTCAAAAAAAGTAGGGGATATTTGATTTTTAAGTGTTATTAAAGTCACCTAATGAAACTGACGAAGAAACAAATGACAAAATGAAATGAAGTTCACATTCATCGATTTATTCCAAATGATCGTTAGACTAAGTAAGGCACAGACTGACCATTATAAGGGTAAAATGATACCCGGGGTCAAACAGCAAAGTTACCACAGCATCACAACCAAGTCAGTAACGGGTAAATCCTCCTCTGTTTGCCAAACAAGCATTGATCCGACGTGGCATACTCCTAATGAGACGTCTAAGGTCATTTTGGTCCAGATTGTCCCATTCCTGTTGCAACGCAGCAGCAAGTTCTTGGACATTGGCAGGACGTTGTTGACGTTGACGTAACCTCTGTCCAAGCATGTCCCAGACATGCTCGATGGGGGAGAGGTCGGGACTCAGTGCTGGCCAAGGTAATGTGGTGATGTTCTGTTGTTGGAGGTAACCTGTAACGATCCTGGCCCTGTGACATCTTGCGTTGTCATCCTGGAAAATGAAACGGCGGCCATGACGTAGTGCGAACGGCACAACATGGACTGCCAAGATGTTGTCCCGGTAGTACTGGCCTGTAACACACCCTGCAACAACATGTAAAGCCGTTCTTCCAGCAACAGTGATGCCTCCCCACACCATAACAGAACCACCCCCAAACGATCATGTCTGATGACGTTAACGTCTTGGAAGCGCTCGTTTCGACGACGCCACACCCTCCTACGTCTGTCCAAAAAATCAACAGTGAACCTTGACTCATCTGAAAACATCACATTGCTCCAGCGTCGATTATCCCAGTGTTGACGATCCCTACACCAAGACGTCTTGCCTGAATGTGATGATCTCTCAAACAAGGGATCACGCGAGGACGTCGGGCGCGAAGGTGACCCCTATGCAGTCGATTCCGAATCGTCTGGCCACTCACTCTCACACCAGTGTCTGTTTGAAGACGAGCGCTGATCTGATTTGCTGTGATGACACGATTTCTCAAGGCCAAGGTACGGATAAATCGATCCTGGGCTTGAGTTGTCGCCCTTGGTCGACCTGAGCGTGGTCTGTCCTGTACAGATTGTGTATCACGGTATCTGGACCATAGCCGCTTATGACAGACTGAGAAACATTCATCGTCCGCGCCACAACCGCCTGTGTTGTGCCGATCTGTAGCATGCCAAGGGCACGTAACCTTTCATTTTGGGTAAGCCGACGCATATCAAAATTTGTTTTCTGGTCACTAAAACAATTAAATTGATGTTTCCACCCTTGAATTCAATGCCACAATGACTGTAACATTCAAAGTCAGAGTCGTGCAAATCTTGGGTTGGACCCCCATGATGATCCCAAGCATCACCTGCATTCCATGCGGTAGCTATTGGTGCGTTTGGGCGTCACATGTAACTGGAAATGTTTATTCTGTTAGGTTCTATAGTGACTTTTTTCGTAGTCATTTGCATATTTTAGTATTATGCCCCCAAAATCAAATATCCCCTACTTTTTTTGAATAGTATATAACATTTGAGGTCAAAGGAACGATCTTCAATATGCAAATTTAACTATAAAAAAATGCATCTTTAACCAGCATAACATCCTTTGTACTCAGTTATTATAAAATCTCAACACGTTTTACAACATTTAGCATGATTAAGCTTTAGCGAAAAGATCTCAAAACGTTTCACTACCTTCGGCATGATTTAATTTTAGCGATAATCCATTAATGTACATGGATGATAATTTGGCAGCCATTCAACTTCACGTATCCTTTGAAACGGTTCAGTCACAAAAATTAATGATTTATATATTTTGTTTGAAAGAGGTATTTTTACAAAGATGGTCAACCCTAGATCTTTGTTAAATTTTTGTGCATTATTAAAATTAGTGAAACGAAGAAGCCTATTGAATTTCAGCAATTTCCATTAATTACTTCTAGAGTTATGGCCCTTGATTCACTTTGTTGCACTTTGTTGCACCTTTGAACGCTCTAATGCCAAAAGTTATCATCTTTGTGAAATTTATCTGCATTATTTAAATTAGTGAAACGAAGGAGCCTATTGAATTTTAGCAATTTCCGTTAATTACTTGTGGAGTTATGGCCCTTGTTGAACCTTGTGAACGCCAAAAATTATCATCCGATCTTTGTGAAATTTATATGCATTATTTAAATTAGTGAAACGAAAAAGCCTATTGAATTTCAGCTATTTCCGTTAATTACTTCTGGAGTATTAAGCTTTGTTTAACTTTGTTGAACCTTGTGAATGCTCTAAGGCCAAAAGTTATCTGATCTTTCAGAAATTTATATGCATAATTTAAATTAGTGAAACGAAGAAGTCTATTGAATTTCTGCAAAATCCGTTTATTACGTCTAGAGTTATGGCCCTTGGTTCAATTTGTTGAACCTTGTGAATGCTCTAACGCCAAAAGTTATCATCCGATCTGTATGAAATTTTAATGCAGCATTTAGATTAGTGATACCAGGAAGCCTATTGAATTTCAGCAATTTACAATAATTATTTCTAGAGTTATGGGCCCTGTTTTACTTTGTGAACCTTGTGAACATTCGAATGACAAAATTAATCATCCGAACTGTATGAAATTTATATACATTATTTAAATTAGTAAAACAAAAAAGACTGTATAATTTCAAAATTTTCTGTGAATTACTTCCAGAGTTAAGGCCCTGGTGTCAGTTTGTAGAACCTTGTGAACCCTCGAACGACAAAATTTATAATCTGATCTGTATGAAATTTGTCTTGTAAATGCCCCCAATTACCTACATAAGAATAAATATACAACAACCCTTTTCGACTGCTCGGACGATTTAGCTGCTGTGAGTGTATGTTTCGTTGCCTGACAACCTATCTTTTCATTGGTTGAAACATATGTCTGATTTGTCACTCCAATCATATCTCATGTACTAAATTACAAAATGGCTAGCGATGTCAATAACACTTCTTACTTCAATACTCGTCGCTTCAGCAACTAACTCTTAATTATCCAAGTCACACATTATCCATATAGGTAAACAAAAACTCTTAAATTGATTTTATCATTATGAATATTGGGATATAAAATAGTATTATTTTTGGGCATTGGCATGACGAAAAATTCTCTCTATGCTGCAGCTTAGCAACTCGGAAGATTCATGCAAGTAGTACAATACATAACCTGAATTCACGTGGATTCCTCAACGTAAAACATGTACCCAAATCCAATGCTTTAAATGTAAAATAAAGACGTCTGATTCTAAAATATCCGTAATTAAATATCAAAACACGACATTGATGCACCTCTACCTGTACGTATGGCACTTATTCTATTATTGGGAGCCACAGTGGCTAAGTGGGTAAGACGCTGGCTCGCTAGTCTGGAGGTCAGGTGTTCGATTATAGAAAATCAGTTTGATTACTTGATACTTTTGAAAAAGATAAATGTGCAATTAATTAATATGTGTCATCTATTTATTTTTGGATTTTGGCGGGGGGACATCAGCCTCACTGTTGTACTTTAGTAGCTAGTTAAACAAGATCTTGCCATACGAAATGGCGGACGGTGCATTGTGGGTAACTTGCGTAACGTCATAAGAAAACCCTCTATTGCAGGTCTTTGTTTAGGCCTGAAATGTTACTAAATTATTAATTAGACATTAAAGACACATTCCCGCATACAAACTTTGTGATTTGATGATATATTTGGACTAAAAACATATTCTATCAAATATTTGCTTCAATTCCCTCTCAAAACTTTGTATTTGCCGGGGATACCTATAGCTATAAGTAAGCTGTTGTTAGACGCAATGTCTATCAACTTAGCTTCATTGTGGGAGGGTCAATTTTTCAGAATGTATTTATCATTACTTACTGTCCATTTACCATACATATTGAGGCCTAAGTAAATTCTTAATTATTTCTGTCAACTTCTTTTTCCGCCGTTTATTTGCAGAGTCTTTTGTACGTTGACAACCCTCAATGTTCCCCCTAAACCGCCTAACCATTTGATCAAGGAATTACAACCGCTTCCTCACTTAAGCTGGCACACAATATGCTGGCAGATAACAGTCGGGTTGCCAGTTAGTTATACCCTGACAATTTTGATCAGTGCTTGCCCTATGGGCGTTTTTCGGGTAATCCAGTATTTTTCTAGTAAGATTGGGTGTCTATACTTTCCATATATACCAAATTTGACATACTTTTATTGGAAAGAACCAATACTTTTCTGGGAAAGTATCTTTAATTAACTCATCCAGACCATAATCAACTCTCGATGCCATCATTAGTCTGTGATATTTAGTGGATTTGAGTACATTTTGTGATCAATAATTTAACGTAAAAATGGATAATCGAGACTTGGGTTATTATCACACCAAAGTTGGTAATGATTTCGAGGCTAGCCTAATATTGAATTGCTAATATCTCGGTTCAGAGTGAAGCTAATTGACTGATATTTTCAGCATATTCTGTTTTCAGTATCCATTTTTATATGCCCACATTGAAATGTGGTTGTATATTGTCGTTGCCCCCGTTATAGCGAGAACTGTCAGTTCTTTATCTAATCTTACCCAATGCCCCTTTAATAATTTTGTGTAGATTTAAAGAAATTATATAAATTGAATTGTATATTTTCTGTAGATTTAAAAGAAGTGAGTTTAGTAGGAGATGATGATACAGAAGATTATACAGACGCTAGATATGATCTTTATGCTTTGTCGGTAAGTTCGTCATGTATCTGGTAAATAAAATGGTGGGCACTTTTCCCTTGAAGCTGTTTTACAATTATCGCACAAAAAGAAATTCATCTGGGCAACAATTTTATGTCTTATTCACAGGTACAGCTGTATGCTGTATCACTTAAAGGGGATACATGATCCATTTTTATTTGCCAATCCAGTTTTCTTAAGCAAGAGGGATATTTAACGTCTACTCGACACAAAATAGGTCATTTTGGGACTAACACATGGTTCAATTATATCTCAATAATTTGCTTGTGCGTAGGGGTCTTTAGCAGTGGGATGAAACCGGAGGACCGGAGAAAACCCACGAGGTTGGACAGGCAACCCCCTTGTCACGTACAACCGGGGAATCGAAACCACACCAGTTGACTCAATGACAAACCTTATGATACAGTGCACACATGCTAACCATTTTGCCATCGAACCTCCCTGTTTTGAATAAGAGTCAAGCACTTCTTCCTCAGATCTATTTTGATGTCCATTTTGGGAAGGAAATGTGCTTGAGGAAAGTCAAGGAAAGGGCCAAATGGACTGACAATATATTTTCAATTGTTTAATCTCTTTAAGTTGTATCTAACATTATTATAATCGAAAGTCAGATTTTTATACCAAGGATTAGGGGGTTTAAAGTGCTCGCAGTAGATCATAAAGACTTATTATCTATGAAAGTCATGAGTTCTTTTACCAGGCTTGTATGTGATAAAGAGTATGGTTGACTGTCTATTACTCGTGAGGGGGTGTGGGGGAGGGAGCTGGATGACCTGGCGCCTGGTTTTTTTTTACTGGCATCCGCACAGGTACTATTTCTTTTTCTTTTAACAAGTACCCAAATCGGGGATTTCGTGTGGAGGTAGTTCGGAGGTAAACAGTCTGTGAAGTACAACACTTGCCACTGTACCTGTGTATCGCTAATTATAAACCGAATGTGTGAAGACAGTTCATACATATCACTCAAAAATTTTTCAGTACAAACTCAGTTGATTCACGCTCGATTTGCTACTAAACAAACCCATCGGTTTATTTTCTCAACAGTGTGACCCGAAGTGACCGCGGATTTATTGACCTTGTATGAACTTATCCATAGCTATATCCTTACACCGAGAGAAATTATCTAGTCTCGGTGAAAAGAACCATGGTCATCTGGTAGAAAATTACTTTTGTATTTTTTGGAACGGAAAACAGTGTTTTTAGAAGCAAACTAACCTGCCGCACATGAGAAAGTCATTATACTAATAATGAAAGGCGAGACCTCTTTTTGCGGCGCAGGCTTATCACTGAGTAGTAAACCGTCCACAAACAATAATATAGGAAGCCTAGTGACAAGTGTAGTAAGTAGGCTATAGACTATAGGTTTGAGTCGAGATTACTCGCTTTCAGTTTACTCTGTTTTTGCGATAACCAATTATGTGAGAAATACCATACTGACATTCGGTTTTTAAAAGTTGTACGCGAACTAAATGCGTTTGTTAGATACTGACAGAGCAGCCCCGAGTCGAACAATCGCCGCCCGAGCTGTCTTCGTCAGCTAGTTTCACAATATCGTACAATAGGTGTATTAATGTGATTTTTAGGTTTAACCCCGCAAACAATGCCAAAATAGTGTTTTCACTGCTTACAGAAAACTGAAATTTAAAAAAAAAAATTTTTATGAGGGTGACCCTCCCACACACTCCCTATCGAGCTGCCGCTCGGTCTGCGCAGCCTCATACCTGGCACATACTATCAACATTGTATATTTTTTCACTGCTTACAGAAAACTGAAATTTAAAAAAAAAAAATTTTATGAGGGTGACCCTCCCACACACTCCCTATCGAGCTGCCGCTCGGTCTGCGCAGCCTCATGCCTGGCACATACTGTCAACATTGTATATTTTTCCGTTTCCGCCCTTCCCCCCCACAATATATATTTCACAGCTATATTGCGACGGTACCAGCATACCCAGTTGTTGACACCCATTACATCACTCCTGTCTAACAAATCATAAAGCTGTGGTGTTACGGTGGCGGCATAGTATTTCACCGTAACACCACAGCCACTCTAACCATTCATAATACATCTAACTATCCCTTTACAGCACTTCACTCCCTACACATTTCCCCTCGTCCTACTTTCCCAAACGTCAACAACACATCTCATACATCCAGTTCGCTGATTAACCCTTGTACCACGTCTACTGGATATGTTGGTTTCCTCTAGAGCTGGACGATGTTTCAGTTTTTTGATATAAAACCGTCACAGAAATAAAAAACGCCAAAAATACTGTCTTCAGAAAAATATTAAAAAAAACGACTATTCCGCATGTTTTGATTTTTGTGGATAGTATCTAACATAAATATTGAAAAAATCTCTTCCTTTTTATGTTGTTTACGATGTTTTGTTGCTTAATAATGAATAAATAGTAATAAATACTATTATAAGTTCCTGAGTGTTCATTCCACAAAGTTTGCAAAACTCACTAAAGAGCTTTGTTTTCCTCACGTGACTTCTCGCTCAATTATCCCTGCTTCTATGCATTGTGATGAATTGTTTATACCGCTCTATGAACCAGTTAATTAAATTTTGTTTGTAAATTCAGTACTGTATTTATGCTAAGAACTTCAAATAATATTGAGTAGAAAGTTTCAAGTGAATATTATGGTGGATTTTCAACTTTTTATCCATGATTATTTATATTTAAAAGGATATAAACTGAAATTATTGACATTTTAAAAAATATCGCGATATAGTGTTTATATCGTGATATTTTCAGAAAATATCGTGATAACTGTTTCCAGGGATATCGCCAAGCTCTAGTTTCCTCCCACTTCTAAACACTTCAGCATACAATTAAGTGAGTTATTGAAGTAAAAATATATCATGTGTTAATAGTCCCGAAATGATGTAGAATTGAGCATTTAGGCATAAAGCTAATTGTCATGTCTACTTATGTTGTCCTTGTCATGTCTATTTACATGGTCCTTGTAGCTTGTGTTTCAAACTTAATCCGGTAAAATATAAAGTTGAGCCTAAGACAACTCCCTGTCAATTTATCTGCCACTTCAGCCAATACTGGTTAGACAAGTGTGTGATCTCCTTGACTTATTCTGTCTAAAGAATAAAACAAATAGATTACTTTAACTGTAAGAAAATATATTAAAGGCACTTGTTCTTCAAATTTCATAAATATGCACTTTCCAGCTCTGGTTTTCTCCGTTTCCACCATTTCTAAAGACCCTGATGCACAAAGAGCAATAAATTAGAATGGCCATATGAAATCAATAGAACATTAACATGACATATTATTTTTTTTTTTTAAATTGGTCTTTTGTTTTTGTTTTTTTAGTGTCATACTGGTATTCTGGGAGGAGGTCATTATGTTGCCTATGCAAAAAATCCCAATAAAAATTGGTACTGTTATAATGACAGTAGTTGTAAGGTAAGATCTCTTAGGTTCAAATATAATTGAAGCCTTGTTTATAACTCAATATGATTTGATTACTTGAGGCATCTTTAGCTATATTCTAAGACTACACTAATTCCTGATAAGAGGTTTATGTTCAATTGTCTTCTCTATTGCAGTGTTTGTAAACACATGTACAATACAACATAAACTTCACTTTTCGAGGTAGACCTACATCCAAATCTTGCATCATTTCCTAATATAATGATAAATCCACATCCAAATCTGGCATCATTTCCTGACATGATGATAGAATCACATCCAAATCTGGCATTATTTCCCAACATGATGATAGACCTACATCATTTCCTAACATAATGATACACTCACATCCAAATCTGGCATCATTTCCTGACATGGTGATCAGATAGACCCACGTCTAAATCTGGCATCATTTCCTAATGTGATAATAGACCCACATCCAAATCTGGCCTCATTTCCTAACATAATGATAGACTCACATCCAAATCTGGCATCATTTCCTAACATGATTCATGTCGGGATTTGTTGACATTTGTCATCTTGGAGTTCAGGGTTAGTTATACATTATATCCATATGGTGTAGCATATGTGTTTGGGATATCAAATTAAACGAGAACAAAAATATACAAATGACAAGTGGTAGTTTCTATTAAACAATGCCTAATTCATTTTTTGGATAATATCCAATATTTACAGCTTAATCCACACTTAAGGCACTCAGTCTCAGATTGGTTATTTAACAATTTTAAGAAAACTAAATCATTTCAGACTGATTATTTAACATTGAATATTATTGGTGGAATTGGCTTATTTTGACCATATCTTGTTTATAATATACAAATTTTCAATTGTACCAAAACCATATAATGCCCCAGCAACACACTAGACAAGACTGCAGTAGAGTAGTAGAGGTTTTAATCCAAGGATGCATTTCTGGCGTAATACCCTAATACCCTTTATCAACTGGATTATATTCCGGGGGATTATATGATTTGGGTATTGTTTAAAAGGAGTGCCTCCTTTTCTCCCACACGGTATCACTTACATCCATGCTGACCTGCAATGTCCCAGAGATTCTTCCACCCACTACAAAAAACTTTTGTAAGGAGTTCATTTGTTGCAGTCTTGGAATTATATGTTCAATTTATCATAACTTTATAAATACTGAACTATTTTGGACTATTTTTAAGTCAAATGATAATCGGAGACTTTATGATTTGTTACATAATCACAGATGTTATAGATGCTTGACCTTGACACGTGAAAGTGATTTTAATATCAACATATCAATCTGTCCGCTATCGACACCCCTGGAGGTCTTGGTAGCATTCGTTATGTCATTATGTAATCTTAACTTGTTTTTGGCATGTTTTATTTAACTGTCTTTGTCTGATAAGCAAACTCTACTGAATGTTAAACCTGATATGATACATTAGCCAGATGTCTAATAAGATCCTTTGTCTTGAAGGGTTTATAAACCCAGAAGGGAAACGACATCGGCAGTCAGGTCCAGCCAGGACACGAGAACAGAGGCCATGGGCGCCTTGGCATGAGACGAGACGGAACGAGGAAGAGCGTCAGGGAGTTGGGACACTCGTGCCAAGCCAAGCTAGGACCATGGCTCCCTCAACACAAGCTAATTACGGAGTCTTTAAGTTTTGTACATAATATGTTAGAAGCAAAGAATAAAAGTATTATAAGATGTTAAACCAGTCTTGTCATCTGAACTTGGTAGAAAGCAATAGTGTCACAGATTTCCCAGTCCGAAGTTGGTGAAATTGGTTATTGACACTGTATCAGATTTAAAGATGGGTTCCCGCGTACAAACTGGGTGATTTAATGGTATATATGGACCAAAAACATATTCAAACTAATTAATTTGTCATAATTATGCTTCAAATCCTTCTCAAACATTGTAATTGCGAAGGAATGCCCTGCTATTAAAATTCGATCAAACCAGGTCATATTTACGTCACGTCTTGGGAGAATTAATTGCATACATAAGACAAGGTCTTTAATCGCTTACTATTTATTACAAATATCGAATCTTGGATTATCCACTACCCGCGTCTTTTTCCGTCATTTTTATCTCAGAAAGTATTGTACGTCTAACTCTTCATAATGTTTATCAACTTGTACATCAAGCGCTCAATGTTTGCTTGTGACCTTTGACATCACGCGTGCAGAAGTTCCTAATCGTCGGGCTGTTGATTAGGGGAACCCTTACATTTTTGTCCTGTATACGCTCCATGAATGTTTTTCGGGGAATCCAGTATTTTTCTAGTAAGATTGGATATCTCTACTTTCCATATATACCAAAATTGCCATACTTTTATTTGGAAAAAACCACCCGATAAATACTTTTCTGGGAACCCATCTTTAAGGGGAATTTGAATTCCTCAAATGTCAATCAGAGACATTATGTTTTCCCAGTGAGTTGGAAGTTGGTGAAACTGATTATGATTGACACTGTTGATGTATAATCACATTACGTGGAAGACTTCCGTTTAAGCTATGGAGACATTTTAAAAAGGTTATAATATAAGCCAAATCCCAATGAAATTTTGTTATTTGAATTACACTTACAGACAAAAATAATTATTCAAAAATGATATTTTGATTATAATAAAAAAAAATTTGAGCGAAAGCATGTAGATTAAAGAAAATTTGTTTTTGTTTTCAGGAAATGCAAGAAAGTCAAGTAGATACAAATTCGGCCTACATTCTTTTTTACGAACGACATAATCTAGATTATAATAAATTTATGCCAGATGTAACAGGAAAGGAACCTGACACTTCGGAAATAGATGATGAATTTGAATCCGATTTGAAAAAGATGTGCGTTGTTCAGTAGTGACTATGATCGTATGTTGTATCATTTTTTTTAATCATTTTCAATTGTTTGTAAATACTTGTAAATATGGTATGTAAGTATATATATACTATAGCGAGTGAGTCAGATTATTAATTGTTTTTGCTAAATATTCTAAGTTTTACCATTTGTTTTTGTTTCTTAATGATTTGTATTATATTCAATGTACATGAAATTTATGAATTGCTGTTCCTAATTTTTCTGTATTTTTTTTTTACTTTATATTAGCATAAAAGCATCAAAATGTCACAGTTTTTGTCAAAGAAACGTTTGTGCAACTAAAAATGTGGACTGATTTTTAATTATATAAATATTTGATTTTTGTTTGTTTATAATCTTGGTGTAAATTATCAACAAATGAGTTGAGTTAGAATTTTGATACTGGTTCTTAATTAATTAATTAATTAATCAATTAATTATCAACACTGTTTTTATGGATAACAATTACTATGGTTTATTACACTGCAACATTTCAACAAGATTATTAATTAATTAATTACCAGTAATCTAATAGTACACGCAAACTAAAACCGATAAGACAAACCTGTGGACAAGACAATTTACATAGACTGTTCATAATTTATAAGAAAGATCTAATTGAATTAATGCAACTGGTCTTTGATATGAGTTATTAAATATAAACACTAAATGGCGGAAATAATTCCAATTTACTTTAGCTCAGTCTCTTTTTGGAAGCAGAATTTGTTAATTGATAAATTATAGATGAATATTCTTATTCCACAGCTTCCAAATGCTCAAATTATTAAATTTGGATGCAAAATTCAGGCTGAATTTTAACAAGATGAAAGTATGTTTTATATAAGGCTTGTTACAAGTTTAGTTACTGCGTAGTTTGTACTAGTCATTCATACCTATATATAACCCTACACTTATATACATCAACAGTGTTTATTAATGGCTTGCAATACAAAGTACGTTTTCAAATCAAACTCTCACCATATGTACACTACATGCAGGCCTGGAAATAAACATTTGTTTTGTATTATACAAAATATGAGACCAGGCCCCGGTTTCAGATAACATTCTCAGACGTAAGTTAAGAATTTACTCAACTTTCAATCACTGTTTATGAGAAATATCCTTGATCCAAAAACACAAACTTTGCACATAGTTTCTTATTGATGTATTTGTTACATTAAAACAACAAAAATTTTATAAGGGGCTATATTTTAGTTAAAATAAGGCAAACAATTTTTAGTAAATTCTTAACTTAAGCCTAAGTATGTTTTGTAAAACCGGGGCCAGGCACTGACATTTTGGACATGTATCAACAAGAGCATTGATACAAGACAAATCTGCAAGATTGTTCCTGGCATTGTCTTTGATTGGTGCTTTATTTCCAGGCTTAGCCACTTGTATGTGTTGTCAATAAACTTTGTCATAATTTAGAGGTCTTTAGAGATCTCTGTCATTCTGGTGAAAAGTAAAAGTGCAAATTTGATGTGTTCATATGTTATGCAAGACTCTGCCATCTTTATTAGTTGTAAAATAAACCCAGGTTGTTAGTTGAGAATTCCATTAGATAGATGATTTTAAATTTGAGATGAATTTAGTAAACAATTTTATTGTATATTACAGTATGAACAAAATCAATTGAAATAACACATTGGATCAACATAATCAATCGAAATAACACGTCGGATCAACAAAATCAATTGAAACTAGACATTTCCTCCAAACAAGTTTGATAGTTTTTATGCAACCAAATCACACACTTATACATTAATTACAATATCTAGTAGATAAATGTGTATTGTTGTTCTTTTTCCAAAAATGTGAGGAAAATTAATAATAATCTTTATGAAATCTTTATAAAAACAATAGCTTTTGTACTACGTAGTAGTATAGCAACTAATAACATGGGATCAAAAAAATCTATCGAAATAACACATGGGATCAACCAAAATCAAAAATTTAATTGAATCTAAATCAAAGAAATTGTGATCTTTGAACTTTGAAGCCAGCCAGTTTATATATAGATTGATTAGTTATTATCAATCAGTTAACTATTTCTAGATGTACTACACTCTCTGATTATCAAACCAATTATTACTAGTGTACTCTATGACAGCTTATTTTACCATCTATATATATCTAATTATCATTGCTTGGGAATATTATCTATACTGTTTATACTTTTATTTGGTCCCCAACCATATCACTAAGATCTGATCTTGCCTGCACTGTACACTGAGGAATTCTTCCAACTGAAAATATCCAAAATTCCTAAAATAGAATTAGCCTGTAAAATTTTGCTCTCCGAAAAATATGCTTAGTTTGTTCTTCAGAGAGTTTATAGGAGTCTTCGGATGATTCTTTATATGTCGATTCAGTGATAACAGAGCAAGAGAATAATATGTTCAGGTCAATTCAAACCAATCACACATACAAATATAACTAGCCCTTTTCAATGATGTTCAGTGGTAGTAGAATTCTTAGAAAATAGATTCTTGTCTAGAATATCCCGGGGTTCAATCTTGTTTCAATGGACCTGGTTCTCACTTGTAAGAGGTAGAACCTGTGAGACTGATAAGGAATTATGCCTAGATATTGGGATAGGACAAAAAATGGAAGATCACCCGTACATGGATGTTAAAGAACCCTTGACAGATGCACACATAATTGGTCTGTTTCAAAATACCTGTCTTCATTAACCCAGTTCGGAGCAAAACAGTAGGATGTTAAACCCCATTTCATTTCATTTCTGTTTCACAATAACCCAAGTATTGTGTTGATGAGATGTTGAACTCATTCCATTCCATTTCTTTCATTTTCAACAAAAATAGAAAATAGAAGGTCAAAAAAATTAAACATATCTGTTTACAATCTAAAACAATTTATTTGAATGTTAATTTTATGATTGATGTCAGTTGAATGTAGTGATACAGTTTGATGGTATAAATCACATTATCTGTGTTATAAAGTGCACGTTTCCTGGAAGCATTTTTTTTATAACCTTAGATAAAACAAATGAAACGAGGACAGTTATCAATTATCGTGTAATATTTTGTTGTGGAGGTTTTTTTTACCATATTTGATTAAAAGAGAGGAATAAAAGATGGCCACCAATTATAGAAAAACATTTTTTCTATATTAAATGTGTTCTCCTATATGAGGTTTAAAGTGATAGATGCGTATTTTCTCAGAAAGTCAAAACGTAATTATTTCTATATCTATTCCTTAAGGGTTGTCAAATCACTATTATACAATCATAGGAATCATTCTAGCACTAAACAAACATTCACATAAAACAAATTTCTTCTGGCCCACAGTTCTTGGAAATTGATTCATTTCTTTTCACTGGACAACTGGGAGTTGTCAAAGTCTGTGGTCAAACGGATAAGAATAATGATGCCTGGTTAACCTAGACAACCTGCACACATCATATTGGTTTAATAATAGCACCCCAGCAAACCTGAATGTTGATGTTTTGACTTGAAAATGATTTAATTTACAATTATGGGAGTAATATGATTATTCTTTAACAAAGAACGACTCTGTATAGGTTCCATGTGTTTTAAGGCTTTATTTTAACATATTTTAAACACATGACTTAAAAAACTGAAACTATCGCTTTAAACATCAGGAGCAAGAAAAATTTTTTTTAATTATTTTTATCTGCAGACACATTTTTTTTTGAAACAGAAAAGTATGTAAAATGTAATTAAATGAGATTAATTTTGTAATTTCCTTTTGTTTTTCATCAAAAGTATGAAAAATGGCTTAAAAATACAGATAAAATGAAATGAAATGAAATTGGGTTTAAGGTCATACTGTTTTTCTCTGAATGGGCTAATAAAGATGGGCATGCGTCTTGCAATGTGCTACAGCCTACTCTTATTTCGAATTCCAACTTCTTTTAAACGCAGACCAATGTGTACTATAGGATTTTGGTTTTTCGTCCCATCCAAACAACTATACATTGTCCCTTGAGAGTCCCTCCGTCCTACGCCACATACCACACTTTCTTGGCCAACAAAGTGACCCAACACACGGGACCTCCAAGTTAGCAAGCCATTGCCCTACTCACTCAGCCACAATGGCTTCCCTGAAAATAGAGTAGATTTTATGTTCCTGTTATTATATTAAATAACAGATAATATCTGTAAGGTAAACAGGATGCTTTCTTCAATAAGTCTTTGATTTTTTCACTGTGAAATTTAAGTATTAGTATAAAAAGCTCACTGATTTTATTTGAAGATTTGATGAGTAAATGGTTTTAATATGTAACTTGACATCTCATTTCTTTCGTATGTTCCGTGTATGCAGTATACAATCGGCCATTTTCAACTTCTTTGCTAAACACTTAACTGTTTGGATTTTTTCCAATTTGGTAGTAATCAAATGAGAAAGATTAAAGTTTGTTAACTTAAAGGGGTGGATACCTGGATTACGATAAGGGCAGACAGAGAAGCCAGGGGCACTACATTTAAACATATTTGACTTCTCTGAAAGCATTTTCAATGATTTTGACAAAATTGTGTATAATGTGCAGGTATTAGACCACATTACCATTTAATTAACAATCTTAAAAGGGTATTATGTAGGAGACATAGATCACTACTCTTCAGCTTCTTGTTAAAACAATAATTTAAAAAAATTTGGTCTTAAGATTTAAGCGCTTTATAAATTGCAATTCAGAGTTGTACATCTCCCAAATATGATCAGATTGTTAAGGGTCAATAAGGGATTGTATTAATGTTGTAAATTTAAGACAAAATTTAGTTTAAGTTCTTAATGGTCTTCATAAATTAAATTAAATTAAAAGCCAATCCTTTAAAAATTTGAGAGGAAACGTACAATTTATTATAACAAGGTTACATCACACAATATGAGATTTGTCAAATTTCCTATCAAGGGCTTAATTCTTGAAGACAAATGTGCTACACAGTCTTTAAAATAATTTGTAATGTATCTGGTCTTTCTGTTTCTAGAATATGATTTTTGTGTTGTTTTTTTTTATAATTATAATATCTGTGATTATGACTTGAACAGGACATACTTTGGGATTTTAACATACTTGTCTAAAAGTATATACTTAATTGAGTTCTTTTCTTCTAAATGTTCGATACCATGCAAACCAGAACCTTAAGTGCGGCGTTCATTGACACAGTGACTGGAAGTAACGCAACTGATCAGTTGCATTCAATCAATGTGT